GCACATTTTTTATGTTGAGGTAGCTCGCCAAGCTTCTTAAGAATCAAATATATACAATGTGCAGCACATGGAGTCCAGTGCAGATATTTCCTCTTCTCCATAAGTTTGTTACCTACAGCCTTGTAAGCACTTGCATTATTTGTCACAATTTGTACAACCAAATGTTCCTCAACCTCCTCAATAATGCTATCTAATAATCCAAATATGAACTCAGCATCTTTGACCTGGTCAGATTGCTTCAATTGATCTTAAAAACACAATACCATAAGGATTATTAATGAGAATGTTGATTAGACTTCTGTTTAATATCAGACCACCCATTTGACATAATTGTTACTCCTGTTTGGGTCCAGTACTCTTAATTTCTTCGATGCTTTTATCAGTGCTTTCCAACTCCTCCTTCAGAATCCATGTTCTCAAATCATACATGGTTGAAGATTTGAACCCTCTCTCAAATGCTCCAACTGAACGAATCATGTTGTAATAGGCAGGTAATGTTGCAACATTAAATGAAATTGCATTTTCGTAGAAAAAATCTGCCTATATCCTTACACACTCTTCTCCGTGCCTCCCTTGCATTTTCTGGGGCCATCTTCTATGTAGTATGAGGCATATCCTTTGATGTGTCCACCATATAATGATCCATGGGCCCCCTAACACCCCTAGATGAAATGGGTTTCATCGAAGAAGATGAATCCCTAACGTCGTGCTCATTCCCGTAGTAAGAGCCAACATCAACTCTATCCTCAAATTGCTTATGTGCAAGATGTTTTGACGTGGTAGACTTATTCATATATGATTTTATCTCCTCCCTTATAGTATCAGGAACTTAGGAGCATGGGGCAACATTCTTGTGAGACCCTAAAAAGTGATCTTTCATCCTAGTCACACCACCCTTCACAACTTTATCACAGCAACTGCATTTTAGATAGATATATTTTTTATCACTTCCCCCTACATCCACCCGAGTGTTATGTTTCCATGCTAGATATTTTCTATGACCTGACGCAGCTTTATCATTACTTTTGATCATCCTTTATGAGAAGAATATATTAGTGCAATATATCAAACCCCTAAACATAAGGCTTCACTTATTTTATATTAAGAAAACTTATACAAACATGCACTCATGAAGAAGCAGACTAACACTAACAACTACTACTAAAGATGATGAATACAACAATATACCGGTCTACCGAGGGTCAAAGAGGGCGCTGTCCCCTAGCGGGGTTCGACCTGTGGTACCGAGTATGTATTGCTCAGTACCGAGCATATACCTGTTTGGTACCGAGCGGTACTAGCTCGGTATCGAGCATGTACCTACTCGGTACCGAGCATGTACCTACTCGGTAAAAGGTTGCGGTAGAAGATAACTCCAAGTAATAAACGAAGAGCAACTCGATGTGATAGGACGCCGAACGAAGAGGGAAAAAGGTCGCTTGAAGAAGGGAGAAAACCTGTTTTCGATAAATGATAGAAGACCGTGCGGGGGGGGAACTGGGGCCTTCCATTTTTTCATCTATTATGGCAGTGGGACAGATTGGAAATTGTATGTGGGCATAATAATTTGATGGCGAGTAGAGAACAATAAAAAGTTATAGATATTGCTTACAAAAAAGATTATAGGGCTATTTGAGATAATTTTTTATTTTTATTTTTTAAAAATATATTTGATTTATTTTTTCCATTTTCTTTTTTATTTTTTTATAATAATCACTGATTTTTTAAAATACTCAAAACAACTTTTGGGTGTTTTTAAATGTCATTATTTATTTTTTAAAATGAAAACTACACCTCGCTGCAGGCTGCTATCATCACCTTATGCAAAATTTAATAAAAAATAAAAACAACTTATTCAGGATATCAAACATGATTTTATTTTATACTAAAACATAAAAAAAAGACAAAATAAAAACAGAAAGTGATCACGACCGTGCTCTAAGTGATTCATGGTAGGTAATTGATATGCTTCTTGATGATTCAAGAAGGATGGGGCACCTTTAGAGTGCACGTGGACTCCTTAGAGAGGAAATGAGAAAAAAAAAAAAAAAAAAACAGAACTTTATTTCTCTGAATCAAAATTACATCAATTGGAGTTATTTATATGTTTTTACATAAGCGTTTAAAGGGTGGGTCGGCTGCTTAAACAAAAATAAACCAAAATTACAAGTGATAGACCAGCTACTTAGAGAACCATGGCTGGTTTCGGCCCTAAACAGGCCTGATGGGTTTTGGTCTCTTTGTCCTGCGCTAGTTATTGTATTGCGGCACTGGTTGAGGTATTTGATAATTTCATATAGCTAGTAGCTTGTCCTTTGAAGTTATCTTCTTCCATCCTCTTCGGAGAAATACCATAGCATTTGAATTGTAGTCTTTAGCTTGTTCTTCTGAGTTCTTGATCCATTCTTCACCTTATTTTGGTATTATTTTTGCATCCAAGGGAAAGCATTGGTGATTAAAAGTAATTCATAAAGGCTTTTATGATGTTTACTTATCAAATTTATTAACTCATCGTAGTTTGCATACCTATAGATTTAAAAACTAACTACTTGCAAATTACATAATAAAAATAATAATCCAATATCTATTTTATAGTAATTAATTGCCTAATAATCATATTAGCACTACTAATTGTATATTAAAACTAAAGTAGTTGTTATAAAGGTAGCAAAGGAACCTAATCAATTAATAGCCTGATTTACAATTAACTAATTAAGTAGTACATTAGTTTGGGTGCTAAAAAATAATCAATCAATATTTAAATTAGTGTATGGTCATTTTCTTATTCACAACTTACTTATTAAGGGGCATAATTCATTTTTTGATTATTACACCCAGATCCATGCATTATTTACTAAGAAAAATTAATTAATAAATATTCAATTAATGAATGACCTTATGACCTTTTTAAAAATTTTAATCATTTGCTCATCCATCATATCTAAAACCATATCATTACTCTATTAGCTAGAGTTCTAATTTTATTAAAAGACTAACAACCTAGTGATGTTAGCACCCTAAATGAAAATAGAAATGTTTGCTTTTATCATCGTAATAATAAAACCGAAGTTAGAGATGCTTTAAAGAAAATGAAGTGTGGAAAAGCTGTAGGACCTAATGATATTCTAATAGAGATGTGGAAATGTTTAGGAGATGAAGAAATTGCTTGGCTTATGAAAATTTTTAATATTATTTTGAAAACTAAAAAAATGTCAAATGAGTTGAGTGTGTTGGTTCCTATTTTAAGAATAAAGGTGATGCACAAGAGTTTTCAATTATAGAGAAATTCAGTTAAATGTGTTATTCATTAGAACTATAGGAGAGAGTTATTGAGCATAAGTTACAGCGTAGTACTAATGTTTCTCAAAATCAATTTGGATTCATACTAGGTAGGCCTATTATGGAAGCTATACATTTATTGAGAAGTTTGATGGAGAGTTATAGAAAGAATAAGGAGGATCTTCATATGATATTTATTGATTTAGAGAAAGCATATGATAAAGTTTCAAGAGAAGTGCTCTGAAAAGTCTTAGAAAAGAAAGGAGTTAATAATGCTTATATTGAAGTCATTAAATATATTTATGTAGGTGCTGCTACTTGTGTTCAAGCATAAGGTGGTTTGACCAAGTAGTTTCAAATTTCAATTGGATTAAATCAAGGATCAGCTTTCAGCTCATATCCTTTTGCTTTAGTCATGGATATTCTTACCAGACATTTGCAAGAGGATGTATCCTGATGTATTTTTCTTCTGATGGTATTCTTCTTGTTGATGAGACTAGAGAGGGAGCTGAAGGAAAACTTGAATTATGAAGATCAACATTAAAGTCTAAAGGTTTTTATTTAAGTAGATCTAAAATTGAATACATGGAGTGTAATTTTAATAGTAATAGGCCTAGTGGGGGATTGTGACTTTGGGCGATAAAGTCATTAAAAAAAGTACATGTTTAAGATATATCGGGTCTATTGTTCAAAGTGAAGATGAAATAGATGGGGATATTATTAATAGAATTCAAGTTGGATGGTTGAATGAATGAATGCATCAGGCCTTTTGTGTGATAGAAAAAAACCTCTACAACTTGAGAATTATATAAGATGGTGGTGAGACCTACAATACTTTATGATGCAGAATGATGACCATTAAAAGAGAAGCATAAAATTAAGTTAAGTGTTGTAGAAATGAAGAAGCTCAGGTGGATGAAGGGCTTTACACTTTGAGATAGAATGTGAGAGTATATACATGAAAAGGTTGGAGTATCTCTAATGGTAGATAAGATTAGAGAGAGTCGCCTTAGATAGTTTAGTCACATAAAACGTCAGCCTTCCAATGACCCGATTAGGAGAGTAGATGTATTAGATTTTATCAATGTTAAAAAATATAAATATAGACCTAAAAAAACTTCGTTAAAAAGTATTAGAAATGACCCTTTTTTATTATATTTAACTGAGAATTTGACTCTTAACAAGATACAATAGAGAAAAAGGATTCATGTTGCCGACCCCACAATGAGATAAATGCTTGATGTTGTTGTACTAACAACATAGTTAGAAGCATTAAGTGCTATTTCATACCTTAATCATTATTGATTTATCTATAAAATTGTCTTTACTACTGAAACTCTTTTATGATTTGAGTAATAAATTTGAACACTAACATTATTAGCAACATAATTACTAATACCTCGATCAAACATGAGTGCCCTATTAAGTCTTCCACTTACTACATAAGAATTCATGATGCAAGTAATAAATTAGCTAGTTTATAGAAATCAGCCACCAAAATGATTTACAGACTAACTCACAAATACTATTATATTAATAGATTAGCTTGTTTTATTCAATCCAGATTTACTAAACCTCACTTCCAACCAAAAAACCTTAAATGCTGCTAAAGATAAACTATATAAGAACACATTTTCTTGATTAAATTGACGCAGATGCAAAATAATACTTGACATAAGAAATTGCATTTCACCAGAAAGCTCGAATTTCTTCAGATGTACCTGTCATTCTTGGCTAACACGGACAGCAACATGCAATGTGCTATAACACTAGGCATGATTCCAGCTGACTGGATTTCCAGAAAATGCTCTCTGCTTTGATCAACAAGCCCTGCAGTACAGTAAACATTAAGAAGTGCCTCAAGGGTCCTTTCGTTAGGATTGCAACTAGAATTCTGCATTTCAACGTATGTTTTCACAGCGTCCTCAAACTGCCCACCCTGGCAATATGCTTCAACTAGACCATTAAAAGAATCCTCATTTCTTTGAATCCCAACACCATTCATGCGCGTCATCGTTGCCTCTGCTTCCTTGAACAGCCCACCTCTTGCAAATGAAAAAATAAGGGAATTATATGTTTCAACTGTAGGCACACAACCAATCTCATTCATTGTATTGAAGGCTACAAGAGCTTCCTGGCATAAAAAGAACCGGTCATTATATGCTTGACGAATATAGGTCATTAAATTTAAAATGCTCAATTATACATACAATGTATCCACATCATTAAGGAGGCTCACCTCATACAGAGCCGCCTGTCCATAAGCTTCGACAACACCTGTGTAAGTCTTGGAACTAGGCACAACTTCCTTGCTGTTCATATGCGAGAGAATAAATTTTGCATCTTCATGAAGGCCGCCCTTACCACAAGCTAAAACGAGGTTTTCATAAGTTTTCATGTTTGGCTCCACCTTCTCCTCAATCATGTCATAGAACAAAGTAATCACCTCCTTAAGATATCCTCCTTCTCCAAAAACCTGAATGAGAATATTGTAGGTGGAGGCATCAGGCTCAGTATTTCCAACCTTCATTTCCAGGAAAAGTTCCCGCACATTTTCATACTGCCCATTGCGACCATAAAGATTAAGCAGGATGCTGTAGGTGGCAGCGGTAGGATTGCAACCAGCTGCTTGCATTTGCCGCAACACAGCCATTGCCTCTTTCACCTCACCATCACGTGCATGAGCCTCCATTAGCACATTGTAGGCTGCAGCATCTGGGAGATGGCCGCCAGCTTCCATCTCTGCAAGGAGATCAGACACCCGTCCAAGCCGGCCGAGCTTCCAAAATGTATCAACGAGATATGCATGTGTGGAATTGTCAGGGTTAACGCCCGCGTCAAGCATTGTCCTTAGCACCATCTCCGCCTGCTCGGCAAGCCTCCTTGCCCCTGCAGCAGCAATCAGAGTGTTATAAGTAAAAATGTCAGGATGAATCCCAGCATGCCGCATTTCAGCAAACAGGCTCAGAAGAGCATCCCACGATAGATTCGCCCTAGAGCAGGCATTGAGGACAGTGTTGTAAGTGAGCACAGAGGGAGAAACGCGCTCAGCCTTCATCTGGGCAAGGAGGTCAAGGGCGGATTCATGGCGTCCATTGCGGGCATAGGCATTGATTACTGCGGTATAGGATAGGACAGTGCGGGGAACGGAATGGGCAGGCATATCGTCGAACACCTCACGGGCTTTATCAAGGAGGGACTCGCGGCCGAGAACGCCGATAAGGATAGCGTGAATATGCTCATCTGGGCGACACCAGAGCTGGCGCTGCATGTACTTGAAGAGGCGGAGGGAGCGCTGCCAGTCACTGCGGCGGGCAAACTCACGGAATACGAGAGCGAAGTCGGAGAGGGAGACGCGGCCGCGGAATGTCTCGAGGCACCGGGCAATGCTTCCGCGTGGAGGGAGACTGCTGAGTTTGTTTATTAGGGTTTCCACCTCGTAGCTGTACTTGCCCTTCTCGACCTGCGCCGACGAATTTGAAAGGACAAGCTCCTTTGGCTTCGCTCTGCTCACAGGCGACAGGGCCAGCGCAGCGGCAGATGTGGATGCCGGAGGAAGAATCAATGGACGGCGGGAGAGTGAAATATGGTCAACGAAGTTGGGATTGCGCAGGATTTGGAAAGAGAATGGAGGAGAGTTGGAAATCGAAGGTAGGGTCTGGAAGACAAGAGCCATGGGAGTTGGATTGTTTCAGTGGAGGAGAAGATGATGGAGATGAGATCTTAACTCGGAATGTGCGAATAACTCCGGCAAAGGAGAAATTATTCTTTTGGCACTTTTATTAGGTCCGGTGTAAGGACGTAGAGGAAGGTTTAGTTGGAGGCAAAATCCTGCGAAAAAATTTGATATTTGCTCGGTATTGTTAGGTATTATTTTATAATAACAATGAATACCGCTCTGTAAAGACCAATATCGAGTTATACCGAGCTATACCGTGCAATACGAGTTGTACCGAGTTTTTCCTAGGAAAAACTTAGTACAACTTTTATATAACTCGGTATTGCTCGGTATAGCTCAGTATAACTCGGTATTGAGTCTTCACGTGATGGTATTCCTCGTTATTGTTTGGTATTGCTCGGTATTTGCTCGATATTTCTCATTTTTTGGCGCGATTTGGCTTCCGCTTTTGGGTGACTTCTTTTTTCTCAAGTCACTAAAATTTAAATAGGATGTTTAAAGAAAAAATGGCTTGAGAGTAAATTTAATGGGAAGGATGCATGCTAAAGGTTTCACCTATTTGAAATTTTAAAAAAAGTGTTTGAGGACTGGCTACAGGCAAGAACAGCTGCTGAAGATGGGCATTCGTTCACTTGCTTAATTAAACTAGAGTTACTTAAATACCCAAGACTGAAAGAGTTTCCCATTATGCTTTCTAAGCTAAAACCGAGGAAATAACAAGGCTACCGTCACTGAGTTGCTTGAAAATCACAAATTACCCCAACCTAATCCCTCTTGGCAGATATTGAGAAGTGGAAGTTACTAATAATTGCCATGGATTAATCATGGTAAAACTTTAAATTAGTTTTCAATTTAAAAAAATAAAATAAAATCAAAAGTCAAAATGGAGATCAGATCAGGAGTTTATTGCTAACCCCGTATGTATCGAGAGCTATCTGCAAATCTTTGCAAATATCCTGAAAATCCCTTAAAATCCGTCGAAAGCTGCTCTGATCAAATCCCATCAACCAGCAGCTCCTCGATCAAGCGAGAAATTATTCTGTGTGGAATCCGATCACAACGATGTGTTCGGTTGCTTACGTGGAAAGGGTTAAACAGTCAATTGACTTGGGTAAACCTCATAAACCCGACCCGACTTCTAGCCCGACCCGGGAGATTTAGGTTGGTGCTTCTTTTTTCAGAATTTAAGGCGCGCGCGAATCACCGCAATATATAATGCTTAGAGCCAAAATTTTCGCAGAGAAGCCAAAAATTTCGCAGAGAAAATGACGATGAAGATGGAGATTGATCTGGAGGAGGATGTTGGTTTTTATGAGCAGACAATATTTTCGCAGGTCTCGGAGGAAGCCGATAACCTAGAGAATGCCGACGTCCAGAAAACAAGCGCACATGAAGCAGAAAACCTAAAACCAGTGCGACTAGACGAAAAGTTCAGCTTATCGGTAAAGTTCACCTTCTTCCAAGTTTTCTTTATAGCAATGTTGCAATTAAATTTCTTTACATAGCCATTTTTTTGATGTAATTATTTTAGGGTATAAAGATTTTTGATGTATTTATTGTGTTTAACAAAGATGCGTATTTTTATCAACAATGTGCATAATGTAAAATTGTAATTGATTTAAAAAGAATACTCGATGTTCTCTTCTTCTAAAAGTTCGCCTCCTTCCAAGTTTTCTTTGTTCATTTATTTTGTTTAATAAAGATGCGGTTTTTTATCAATAATGTGCATAATGTAAGATTGTAATTGATTTAAAAAGAATACTCGATGTTCTCTTCTTCTAAAGCATTATTGATCTAGGCTACAATAAAGATTTTGTAGTTCGATTTTTTTATTTCAAAGGTTTGTTGCGTATTATTTGCGTATGTATTTTGTATCTATTTGATATACATTGAATATTTTCTACGTATATATTACGTAAACATTGCGTATACATTGCGTATTGTGTTGCTTAATTGCTGCTTATCTTTTGCGTATCTTTTGCGTATTTTACCATTCACTTAATGCGTATTTCTCATGATGTTTATGTTAATGAGAAAGAAGCATACGAGGCTTATCGTGCGTATTATTTTGCTTAATTACTGCTTATTGGTTGCGGATTGGATAATTCATTTATTGCATATTTATCATGATGTTTATGTTAATGCGAAAGAGGCATACGAGGCTTATCGTAATTATGGCCAAAATCTTGGTTTTAGTGTTCGTAAGGATCATCACAGTTACTGGCCAAATTCCAGAAATTTAAAATCCAAGAACTTTGTTTGTTTAAAAGCTGGTTTCAAGAAGTTGGCTGATCTTAATATCCAAAGAAAATATCGAAAATCAGATACCCAAACTGGTTGTCCAGCTATGATTAGGTTTACAGTGGATGAAGCTGGATATTGGAAGGTGAAAAAATTTATTGAAAATCACTATCATGATTTGCCTAGGTTAGAAGACCGGCATCTTCTTAGATCATGCAGGAATATGTGTGATGAAAAAGCTTTCGTTCTTAAAGCAATGACAGATGCTGGGATAAGAACCATTGATGCATTTTCCTTCATTGCTGATGAAGTTGGAGGAGTCGAAAATATTAGATTCACAAGGAGGGATGCGTACAACTTTAGTGGGCAAGGTCATCCAGGTAATCTCCTCACCTCTATTTGGAAGACCAGTAAGGAGGGCCATTTCATCAGCTGTGAAAGGTGCAACATGACCCTATATAATAAAACTTTGCTTTTGAATATTCCACATTGTCAGCAGCTTGTAGACTAGTGGGGCGTTTTGCTCAAATCCAGAAAAATGAAGAAATTGGTAAATATTCAGGTCCTTCAATTTTTCTTCAATTTCAAGAGGAATTATCTCGGAAAAAGTATCACAAATTATTCTCAATGTCGAAACATAGCATCGATAAGATATAGGACGGACTTAAATCTGCGTAAATTAAGAAACTAAAATTAATTTAGAGAAGTAGGTGATACGCATTAAGTACACAAAGCATAAGCATATTATATGCATATTATACGCATAAAATACGCAATGTATACGCATTCTATACGCATTACATACGCAAATCATACGCAGTTGATACGCAAAGTACGCAAAATATATGAAAAATATCTGCAGAAATCTAGGGTTTTTTACATTAATCGTTTTTTCTTTATTGGAAGTTTATTTTTATGATTTAAAGATCCAAAGTATTTATTATAAAATGTTAGGGTTTGTCTTCAACATATACGCAGAAAATAAGCAAAATATACGCAAAATATACACATTGTATACAAATAAAATACGCAGAAAGAACGTAAATGGTGAGATAAATATAATCTTTTATAGTTCTCAGAATGTTTTTTTTTTTTTTTTTTTTTTTTCATCAAATACGCATTGAATACCAAAGAAATACGTAGAACATTTTATGTTAAAGTAAGCAATAACGTACCTTTTTCTTTGCAGGTGAATCCTTCCCCTCCTCCATTTGAGCAGAAGAGATTGCTGGAAATTTTTGAGAATATTTTTTTTGCAGGAACCTCGGGAGAGAACAGGAGCGAATGGCCGAAATGTGAAAATTTTCTGCCTTTTTCATCTTTTACTGTTAAATTCGATGGGCGGGCGGGTGTCTTGTCGTATGCAGTAAACGGGTCAGATCTTAACTTTCCACGTAAGCACAACACGCGTAATGTTTTTTTTGGCAACCGAACACACCTCTGTGACCGGATTCCACACAGAATAATTTCTCCCGGCAAAGGCATAGCTTGTGGAATACGAGTCGTGCAGCGGAAGCATTATTCGGTGCGAACGATAGACACATAATTTTGTATTTTAATTTAATGATTTTTATTTACATAATACTTTAAATTATTATATTTATGTATCTAACATCCAAAGTATATTATTTACATACCTACCACTCAAATACATCATGTTTCATCTAAATTATCGCCCAGTCAAAACTCCTTCACTCCGACTCTGCCTTTTGCACGTGAAATCCATTCTTCCACACAAAGGGAAGAGGCTGCCGGCATTGGACTCAAAGGCGAGGGATGAGGCTGCCCTCCTAACATTTAAGAGCTCTGTCACCTTTGATCCCTCTGAAATTCTTTCTAGATGGTATCCAACAGTGAGTAACCAATGCGAGCGGTATGGATTACTTGTAACACGACTTCCAGCAGAGTCACTGGCCTCAATCTTTGGCACAAAGGCTTCACTGCTTGCTGGAATGCTGAATTCTGACATCGGGAATTTTAAGAAGCTCAAGTTCCTCTCTCTTCCTTACAATTCATTATCCGGCAGGATTTTTGCGGCGACGATTGGCGCGCTTCGGCAACTAGAGCTTCTGGATCTCTGTTGCAACATTTTCTCTGGGTGGGTCCTCGATCAGATAGGTAACTTGAAGTCCCATTGGAGATTACAACTTGCTAAATCACCTTAAGCTTTATGGCAATCTTTTAGTTGGTGCAATTCTTCCAGATATTGGGAAATGCTCCAATATCCAGACTTTGCTTCTTGATGGCAATAATTTGATTAACTACTCCCTTACTGGTAGCTCTTCACAATTGTACTTGAATAACACTGAGGAGTTTAATGCCTTCATTGGGGCGATCCGACCTAAAATTTTCTCAATTCCCAGCCTGGAGATTTGTTGGACTACAAAGGCGAACCTTGATGGAATCTTACTTACTTGGATATGAGCTTGAACAATCTGCAGGGTCCAGTTCCTGTTGCTTTAAGTGTGTAGTGCATGGCCTATTTTAGTGCCTGTCAAAACATTCTTTCGAGATCTCTTGTTGGATTGTCTAGCAAGATTTGCACAAAAAAGTATATTCTTTTGAAAATTTACTACAAAAATTATCTTCATAGTGTTGAAGAAGCTAATCCATTTGGATTAGTGTTGGGTGGTGATATTTTGATTCTCCATGACTTCAGTTCAAATGATTTCAGTGAGCCTATTTGAAGCCGGCTACTAGAACAACTCCTTTCAATTCATGGCACAAGCTTCCCATCACCATCACCATCACCTCTTCTTCCTCCTACAAGCTTCTTTCATCTTCTTCCAACCTCTTATGCTTCGCTATAATATTGCAACCTTCCTCTTCTCTTCTTATCTACAATCTCCTTAGTCTATC